TGTTCAACCTTGTTCTTCAAGCTTGTGAGGGTTGATTTTTCTGTTTTTTCAAGAGACTTGAATGAGAAACAGAAGCCTTCAGTCATGTTTTTGTATAACGCTCATTGTGGGTACATCTTGATCACATCACTTGAAGTGATGTGAGTACTTTGTTTGGTTAGAGAATGAGTGGGCGGACGGTGCAGTGCAGTGCGGCAGAAACAGTGTTGTTAGTCACTTCATTTCCAGCTGTGTCCAATTGACTTTGTATTGCTATGAGGAAACCGCAAGAGTATCAGGTCCTTGTGTTCGTTCCTAGCTCCTGAAGCTGTTGCAGTTCACCTTTAGCTGGAATCCGTTAAAGCTTGCAGCAATCCAAGTAGGTCAGGTTCCCTATCTGGTTCTTAACAGTAAGTATCATCAAAACATAAGGCAAGAGTATTTAAGATCTATCAATTTCCCCATTTTTGATGATGACAAACTTAGTACTTAGTTCCCTCTGAGACTATGCCTTGTCGTAACAAAGGTTTACATGATAGAACTCAGTAACTTAAGAACCAGTTCCCCAATGTGTTCCCCCTGAGTCCTATATTATTCTTCCCCCTTTTAGCATCATGAAAAAGAACAACAGCACAAAGAAGTCTAGCTAAGCTAACTCATGCCACATATGTGCAGACAAACATGATAGAGAATAGAACACAGAGAGAGAGTACTGGACATAATAAAAAAGGATTCATATTAATAATGATTTAATATGCCTCTGCCTTTTGAAAAAGGAGGAGGCAACATTGGACTTGTTAACAGGAGTAACAACAGTACATCCTAACCATAAAAAAGAAAACAAAAACATCCACCAAACATCAACAAAGAAACAGAGAAAATAGAAGAAACATATCCAGAAGACTGGTCACTGAAGGGGTTTTTAGGGGGCACAAGGAGGAAAAGACTTGGTAGCTGCAGCAAGTGTCTGGAGAACAAGGTCTATTCGGGCGTTTCCCGACTTTTGCTCATTGAGCAGTTCAGCCTTCAGGTTCTCAATTTGCGTCCTAAGATCAGCATTTTCCTGTGTCAAACGAACCACTTCATCATGGGAACCCCTCGGGCTTGCTGACCTTCCAGGATAGCATTCCTAGCCTTCAACCGATGAATTTCCTCAGCTGCAGAGTTCTGGGCATTGATGAGCTGGGAAACAGTTGATGTACTTCCTATCCCCCATACTTTTCCACACACTCGCACTCTTCCAAGGTTGTCTGTGAAAATGTCTGCTTTCGAGTTCCCACTTTACCTATTCCTAGTGGAACCTTAAAGAATTTGAACACCGAAGTAAGCAAGAGTCCATAGGGAAGCCCATGATTACCGTCCTTGAAGGTGGCAACCTTCTGCATGTGTTCAATCATTATGGCAAGCAGACTCACAGGATTGAAACCGTCCAGTTGCTCCATTAGGAATAGGTCAGACTTGGAAGTCACGGACCTCCTTTCTGCTCGAGGCAACAGGACTTTGTTAACCAACTCAAACAGCAACTGGTAGACATGGAGTAGTGCTTTCTATGGATCTGGTCCCCTTTCTGATTAGCATTGTCTTTCACCACTGCATTTATGAAGTTATACTGATAAACATCTCTTACACTCTTCACCCCAACTGTAGGAACTTTCAAAATCTCTCAAAGCAATTGCATATCAAAGACGATGTCTACCCCATTGACCAAGGCACATACATAATCAGTATCAACTGGAAAGAGACTAGCGAAGAAACTTTGTACCTCCTCCTCGTACACTTTAGGTGCATCAATGTGAAAAATATGCACCCATCGTTGAAACTCGACCATTTCCAGAATTTGGCGCATTCCGGCCATCTCAGAGATTGTGGGGTCAAACGTACGACCCAGCAGGACCTTTTGATGCCTTAGACGCTCAGAGCTAAGGCTGACTTCACTCCTCATTTTCTTCACAGAACTAGGTTCTTCAATAGTTTCAGACTTGCGTTTCCTAAGCTTTTCTCCACTTATCTTGCCGTTTCCCTTGGACTTCACTAGTACATCATCATTACTCACTACCTCCTTCATCTTGGACTTGGATGTTGACCCTTTCTCCATTAAAACAGGCTCTGCCTTTTTCGAGGACCACCTAACAAGGGTACCAGGTTCCTCAGGAGTTCCTTCTTCCACCTCGACTACAGGGATAGCCTCATTACTATCAGGTACACCATCCTTCACCAACTTTCATCTTTTCTTTTTACTACTCTTCTTGCTTTTTTGGAGAGCAGAGTCGTAGGCCACTTTGGCTTGAAGCCTAGTAGTAGGTCGCCTGATTTCAGACTCAGGGGTGGAGACAACCCTTTGCTTACATATGAACGCATCAAGGGCCACGTTGTCCAGGTCTTCTTCATAACTAGATCGCATTTTAGGTGCTTGAATTTCCAGGGGCACAACATCGAATGCAGGAACAACACTGTCCCGGGGATGAGAGCCCTGACCTGGGTCCTCCGGAGAGGAATCAGGTTCCTCATGTGGTGCCCCAGTAGTATCTGCTACTGCATCCCTTTCAACAGCCATAATGGCCCCTTCTTCCCCCACACTGAGTGACTCATTTTTCCGGGAAGTAATTTCATGTAATATCCCATCAGCGGATACTACAAACACAGTTATGACATCCTTTTCTTCTTCAACTGGTGTTTCCACAAC